CTGCTGCTCCCCACTTACTGTAAACCGCCCAATGTTAGCGTCCCAGAATTTTTGCGATCTCCCAGAACCAGCGAGTTTACGTTGGCAAATGTTCACGGAGCACTGTGGCCACACATATACACCCACTGTAGAAGTTTGATTTCATGATGGTTAATATTTGCGTTGTACTCTTCTCGCAAAATTAGCAAACATTTAAAATATGAAAAGAAAAAGGACCTAGGAACTACAAGTTACGCTATAATGATAGCTTGCATAGACATCGGTCCTCCCGGTAGGACCATCATACACAGACATGCTGCATGGCCTCTGTTCTAACATTGACCTAAAACTTGACCCTAAACTGTTGCTAAGGGGCTAATGAAGAAGTCCGCAAATTTTAGACGTGATCGCACAAGGCATACTACGAAATTCCATGGTAACAACCCATGGTAACCATGGAAACGGAGTATGGAATTATGCATTCCACGGCCTTGGCAAGCTAATAAAAACATTAGGACCTCACCACAATTGATGTGCCATGGTCAAAATTCACTTTGGACAGAGTTGCTAGCGCACCGACAGGATTATGTGCGGCCATTTTGACAATCGGTAAAATTGCGCATACGCAATGCACTGGACATAGCCTTGCATTTTGCGCCACTACTTTGTCTGACAAAGACCTCATCTCAACAATTGTTTAAAAAAATTTCTCAACCAAAAGCACTTTTGCAGCTCGATTTCTTGGGTCCTACCCGTAGGACCCGTGGTCCTACCGGTAGGACGGTATGCAAGCTATCAATAATGTCCACTAACACCACCAGTTACCGTATTTTTCCGGTTGTAAGTCGACCTTTCACAACTAAAAATAGAAGGAGAAAGTGTGGGGGTCGACTTAAAACCGGGATTCGACTTATAACCGGGAACTATCAGTATCTTACAAAAAATGACCTGTACTGCATGCACGAGTGCACCATGTGTACACATTTTGCCAGTTTATTGGTCTTTTTCAAGGATTGGGACGTCATACCCTCCAATAAGGAATGTTTACATGATTTGTTGATGTGTAAGTAGCAGGGAGTGGTTAGTAGTGCTTCTTTGGGTGAAAACTTTAAAACGCAGAATTGCTCCGGATACGGGGGACGACCTATAACCGGGGTCGACTTACAACTGGTAAAGTACGGTACTAAACAATCAGCTTGTAGTTCCTCGGTCCGTTTTCTTTTCTATAAAAAATTAGTATAAATTGATCCTTATACTCCAGTCCGGCATTATCGATACTTTTCATGAAACGAAAAAATAGTTTAGTTATGACCCGCACCAAGAGTAGATAAACAAGAGTGTGCAACTCTGGATCTTTCCTGCAGATACCCCCGCCCACGGCGGAATTTTTTGTTGACGTCACCTTTTTTCAGAGAAACGCGCATTTTGCTGCAGAGCAGTGTGAGAGCACGTGCTGGGCACCGACCTTGTGGTGTAAAGTTAGTCCGGGCGATCGCGAGTGCACGAGGGAAAACTTTCCAAAAGGCTCGCAGCGCGTGCGTCGTCGAAAAGATTACGTCAACAAAAAATTCCGCCGTGGGCCAACCCATCCCGAGTTGCACACTCTTGTTTATCTACTCTTGCCCGCACCCACCCACCCCTCTGAGCGAAAAATATATAGACTTGACAGCTAGAATGGATTGCTGTTTCAGCTATCAACATTTTTCATAACGAAACTCTCCCGGACCCACCCACCCATAAACGAAACTTTTCCGTTTTGTGTAAAAGATTGATAAAAATAATAATGGACGGCCCCGGCCCCTTGTACTCCGGAAAAATACAGTAGGTATGAGTAATTCTATACCAGGAGGGGATTCCCCGGTGGCCATGGGGAGGGTCCAGGCCAGTTGCCATCGGCCTAGTGCCCTCTCTTGCGTGATGCGAGTTGCCAATATGATGCATGAAGATTTAGTTAGAATGGGCCCTTACGCCTGAATGTGTCCGAGTGGTGTGTAGAGAAAGGGAGAGCCAAGCGAGGCTACATGCAATGCAAAGCCACAGAGCACAGCTGCATGAATACCCACGTATTCTCTCACAACACTGCACAAGCATTATTGATGTACACCAGTGTGCTGGTTTCGATCAACTGGTGAAGCAATTGGCGTTGCTTGCAAATGGCCAAAGCAACAGCACCTGCGACCGGGTGCAATGACTGCTGATTGTCGTTATTGATGTGCATGGACCACTCCGCGCGGGTCCATCTGCTCCCCAGCCATCGAGGGAGGCATGTGAGAACATCACCAGATTGCAGGGTGGCTGAACCAGTGACTCCCCGTTCCAATTGGACAGTCGCTCTTTCCACCACTGTAAATGCCGCCTGGCACCGGGTGTCTATGGGGTGGTCCCCTCGTACGACTGGGACTCGCGAAAAGGTAGGATCTTGAGCTCCTGGAGATGCCGGTAGCGGAGAGACGCTGTTAGCAGACCCGGAGAGAGGAATGTCAAGCGCCCCAACAGACAGGCCGTAACCTGGGAACAATCACCCGTGGCTGCCGCAGAAGCTTGGTGGCGCTCTTGGCGAAGCTTCCGGATCTTCTTGGGAGGTACAAACATCGCCATGGCGCGAGAGTCCATTTTGAAGCCCAAGAACGAGATGCTCTGGGCAGGAGTCAACACGGAATTCTTGAAGTTGATCAGATATACCAGTTGATTCCGCTATTTTTGAGAGATTTTCCACACTGCGTTCAAGACTGCTCATTCCATTTTCCACTTGATCTGTTGCACTCAGTACCGCCGTCTTTGCATTCACCATTTTTCCTTTCAAACTAGCCAATTTGTCATTGCATTCCGAAATACGTATAACAACCTTATCTCCGTATTCTTCCTCTTGTTTTTTGGTTTTTCTATCCTGCGATTTCGATGGTTCAAAATCATTGATCAAAGTTGCGAACGACTCGTACACGGATTCACACTTCGTAACGGTGGCGTTGAAGGTTACACAAAAGGCACTTATCTCTTCCAACTTTGGCGTGTCGTCAGTCAGCAGCCTGTCGGCTTCCACAACCCGTTGTTGCGCGACGACCGGGTGAGCCTCGAGTAGCTTTCGTTTCGTCTCGGCAAAGCCACTCACAGATTCCGATGACTCCGACGTGGCAGCTGTGACCTAGCACCTACATGTAGGCCGGGTTTCTGCACCAAAAATATATCCAGTCTCTCTGGAGGCGTGGGTTCGAATCCCACCGCTGCCACCAGTGTTAGCTCTCCCGGCTAAATGAAGTCCCCTCACACCAGAACACAGGGGTTTTATGGTATTGAATTATGGAAGTATTTCGACAAGAGTGTAGACAGGAATGAAAAGGAGAACAGGACAACGACAACTCAAGACTTGACAGAACGAGAGATCCACTGAAGCATGCGCTCTTCTATACGTGGGTGGCTCTCATTGCTAAGGGAAACGAGCAGGAAATACGAATAGTGAGTATATACGTCTCTATTATATATGCACCTATTACAGCACCATGAAACTAACGTCCTTCAAATCCAGTTTGACAGGCCAGTCGTTGGGCTGCTGGAGATCGAGCATGAGATTCAAGCCTTCCATCTTGAAATGCTCGTAGCCCACGAAACCGTTCAGCGCTTTCAAATTCACCACGGAATGTTCTTTGCCGTAATCCTTCTTTGGAATGGTGAAAATATGGCTGACAAATTGATGAGGACACTCTTGCACACGCGTGACGGCTCCTTTCAGCTCCAATTTGTCCACTTTTAGCCGCACAGCGAGCGCCCTGTCTTCCTCCAGAGACAATTCTCTGGGCTCTGTACTTGGTGGGAGATCGGCCACGAGATCCAGCTTCAGGCCCCGCACCGCATCCAAGACCTACTGTCGACCAGGTTTGCACAATAATGCCTCAAACGTCCAGCGACCGGAATTTGGGGAAGCGGGGGCACAAGCAGAGAGTGTGTTCCAGCTCGTAGTAGGCTGGACGTGGATGGCCGCGAAGATGTGGATTGAGCTGGGAACGCGAACCATCCGCGGTCAGGGTCATCAATGACCCTGACCGCGCACCAGAAAGGACCGATTGCCTCCACGCCTGTTTTTTTGAACTCGCACTGTTGGAAAAATGCCCTTCCCACCCTCCAAACCTGCGAACGCTGGGCTGCGAAATGGTGCAAGTGGAGTGAATTATGATAAGAAGCGACTGGATTTCATTGATCAACGCTGTAGCTTGTGTAACACTTTGTATTTGTATCCTGTCTTTCTACTGTGACCCATGTCCGACGGCAGGTACGCACGGGAATCCTCCGTCTGTCCACCAAGTTCATGGGCACGTGTACGCTGATACAGGCCGCACTGCCGCGAATCCTGAACGACGTGCCTGAGGAATTCTTCGACAAGACCAAAAAACATCTCGAGGTGAGTGGAAAATACGAAAAAAATCCGTGTTTGGGTCCCAGTGTTGAAATGGTTGTAGTCAGATTTGCAATGTGACATTTTGCCTGCTGGTACCCTTAGACCGTTTGATTTCACTGAGCTGAAACACTGATTCCATCAAATTTGGAGCTTATCGTGTTTTGCGTCTCAGCTCTTTACTTACAATACTTCCTTTTCTCAGTTTACGGATATTAGGCCACCCTTTCTTTTTTCGTTGTTTAACGTCCGCGCCCGCGTACCTTTTTGCCTCCGACCGGAAAAAAAAAACAAGAAAGAAGTAGTACCAATAATATGCGAAGTTGTAAATACATGATTGTGTAGTTTCACAGTGTGCCGATCATGACCTTAAACTTATAATCTTGCTTCCCGGGCATGCCTTTGTCTTGTGTTCTTTTTCTTTTTTTGTTGGCTTTTAAATATCGTACGGTGTGTGTCCTAGTAAAAATCCAGATGTAATGATATCATGACATGCTAACTCCATGCTATGTACCTGTTTTGTTGGATTCATCAGGCATGTGCTCCAATGTGCCATCAAAGAGTGTTGTTCTATGCCTGCAAGTGCCGTTAGACCCAGATATATTGTATATATCACATGCTTTACTGGTCAAAATGTTTGATTGGGGTTTCCAGTTTTTGGAATGGGCTTTTGTTTTTTTTCCGCCCTCCCGCGTACCTTTTCGCGAAAAAAAGGACGTTAAACAATGAATTAACAAAGGGTGGCCTTATGCACTTTATTAAAGGGGAAGTTAAGGCAAAAATTAAAATTTCACCAGTTGTAGTCTTCGGGGTGCTGAGTCGAATGGTCTTGGTCCGAGAAAACTGAGACGCTCCCTTCCTACTTGAATCCCAATCGAACTCGCGCACTTCCACCGAAACTGGGTGACTGCGCCCTACTAGATGGGGATTTGTATGCAAAATGTCACTAAAAGCGCCATTTCGTTCTTATAAAAGCACGGATGACCGCGATTGGCCCATATGTTGTAGTCTTTTGGACGCTGAGTCGACTGGTTTTGGTCCGAAAAGGCTGCGATGCAGCGTTCCTCCTTTATTCCCAATCGAACATGCTTGAACAAGCGGTCACGTGCTCCTGGGTGCCCAAATCACCTGGTCACCGCACCAGCAGGCGACAACTTTCACACCAAGGTTCAACTCGAGTTCAACTCGAGTGACAGGACTGCACCCAAAAAAGGTCAAACAGGCTAGTAAGTTGTACCCTGCAGGCACGGTGACCAGGTGACTGGCGTACGCAGGAGCACGTGACCGCTTGTTCAACCATGTTCGATTGGGAATAAAGGAGGAACGCTGCATCGCAGCCTTTTCGGACCAAAACCAGTCGACGCAGCGTCCAAAAGACTACAACATATGGGCCAATCGCGGTCATCCGTGCTTTTATAAGAACGAAATGGCGCTTTTAATGACATGTTGCATACAAATCCCCATCTAGTAGGGCGCAGTCACCCAGTTTCGGTGGAGGTGCGCGAGTTCGATTGGGATTCAAGTAGGAAGGGAGCGTCTCAGCTTCCTCGGACCACGACCATTCGACTCAGCACCCCGAAGACTACAACTGGTGAAATTTTAATTTTTGCCTTAACTTCCCCTTTAATACGAAATATAATTGAGCATCTAGATCCAAAAAGGGGGCTTGTGTCATTTTTGAGCATTTTGAGTTATCTATACCATGGCATTGCTGTATCCCAGCAGATCATTCTGTAAACACCTAGGTCCAAAATCTTCATCTTTCACAGAGTTATGGATGTTTCAATAAGTGATTTATACATCACTTTATACGGAAAACTAAATGCATTTTGCTTGCATGTTGCTCGATACTGCGCGAAACGACATAAGCCCCCTGTTCGCATCTAGAGGCTCAATTGATTTACAGTACTATTGTGAGTAAAGAGCTGAGATGCAAAACACGATAAGCTCCAAATTTGATGGAATCAGTGTTTCAGCTCAGTGTAATCAAAAGCCTACGGTCTAAGGGTACCAGCAGTCTACCTTGATATTGCGGATTTCTGTTCGACTATGATTTACGCATGTTGTTGTATTTGGTTCTTGTCTTGTGGAGTCCAGTGTCTGATGTCATATATGGTCTAGGTGTACGCGCGAGTATGGTGTGATGTGTGACGTTTATGGTATGTGGTGCATGCAAGAGTACGCGTTGTGAGAGTGTGAGGATGTGCTTCCGTCTGTGTGAGAGTGACTGTCGAGTGAATGCTGTACATGCGCAGTGCTAGTTTGGTCTGGGAATGAGAGTCAAGTGTGATTCGTCCGTGGTCTGGTTGTCTTGGTCTTGGTCATGTGTTCTGTACGTATTAGTCCCTGATTGGTCGTCCCGATTTGTCGTCGCCATATTACTGCTTGTTCTTGTTGTTTTCTTTGAGTCTTTTCCCGGGAGTGTTTCCCGTCGTTGTTTTGTCCCTTCACAAAGTTTGTCTCTCTCCTCCTGCACCCTCACCATTTGAGCCAGAGCACGCCAAAATATGACCACAGACCAAAAATTCGATTTTCAGTTTTTTGTTCAAAAATGATCTAACACACCTAATGTTCACTGTCTGAAAGTTTTGGATTGATCCGACATGTCTAAGTGTTGCTACAATGGTATTATATGCAGCACTGTTGAAATGGTGAAATTCTATGTGCAGCAATGGGATTGTCATTTTTGCACACAATTGATATGCCCCTTGGTTCATCCTTTCCGGGTCAGTTCCTCTGTCCAGGGTCTTATAGCATGAGCTGACAGGTACTCAGCCACATCCAAATTGTCTATAGGCAGCTGAGCTGGGTGTCCGAAATACCTCCTGTTTGGAGCACCACTGGAGAACCGCCAGCGAAAACACGGTCGACATCTGTAGATGGCCGAAGAAGTTGGCACTCCATGTCCTCTCCATCACACTCCACCTGTACTTTCAGATATACAGTATACACTGCTGCACACAGTGTTCCTCAACATACTAGACGTCGCACTCATATTCCCCACACCAAAGCCCATCTGCACACGGTTTTCTCCGCTCGCCAGAGAGTACTGTTTTCGCTGCATACTGCTCTTGCTAGCGATGTTCCGCATACAGGTACTCAAATTATCGACTTCAGCAAGTTGAGGGAGCAGCAGAGTCCAGTGATTGTTTTTGCACTTGCAACCAATACTGGCATTGTCCCGGATATGTGCAGCGATGTCCATTCTGGCCAAATCATCGGCCGACTCACCTCGAAGTCAGTGTCGATGCCAATCGCTTGCCAGGTTGTCATCAGAGTAGAATTCCTCGTCACTGCAGATCGTGGGACTACCAGCATCAATTCCTTTTACGCTCGATGAAAGTGTCGCCCTCAAATGACTCGCCGCTGTAGCCATCATCGTCTTCCTTCTGTTTCCGACTCGAATCCTCAAAATATTTTATCCTGCGCATGGAGTGCGATGATGTCGTCTTCTTCCGCTCCGCAGTACATTACTACTACTAGGCTCTTCTGTCGATACATCGATAACGATCAGTTTTAGGCGACTCAGCGCAACATGGAATACAAACTCTAACAAATAAACTTACTTGCAACAAAGAATTGCATCCGGAACAGTTCAGTCGACCGAGGAGAACAACAACAGCGACTCGCGTTGCACTGCACTTCGTATTTTTTTGCCGCGGAATTCAAATCGCGATTATCTCGACTTTTCCAAAAAAAGCTGTGGTCATGTTTTAGCGCGCTCGGGCTCATTTATTGATAGCATAATAAGTACTGAAGAGATAACCAAGAGTTTGCGTTGTTGTGTGGTGGGGGCCAGGGGGCATTGGCACCCAACGTGGGGCTCGAACCCACGACCCTGAGATTAAGAGTCTCATGTTCTATCGACTGTACGTCCATTGTCGTGGTAATTTCTTGTGTTAGTGTTTGGCTTGTCTGGTGTGTGTGTGTGTTGGAATTGGGGATTTTTTATTTATTTTACAAGCAATACATGGCTGGGGTAGCCAATGACCACTTTGCGTGGCGATTGCAGGGTTTTTATAGCCAACCATGGGATCGGGAACTAATAGGCGGTTGTAGCTTGTGCTAGATGACTTGAGGTGACCGTGCCACCAGCTGCTCCCCGTATTGCTCGAAGAACTCTGATTCCCTACCACACTCTCCTTCCTCTCCCTCTCCCCTCCTTCACTCACCCCCCCCCCCCCCTCTTTCCTTCTCGCTTTGCAATTGAATTTTCTGTGGGTTCCGTGTGCACAGGAAACGTCATCTGTGATGTTTGAACGCTTGTCAGCAATACCGTGCCTGAAGCCTATCAAACCTGTCGGTGCTATGTACATGTTGGTGAGTGAACCGTGGTGTGTGTGTGTGTGTGTGTGTATGTGTGTATGTGTGTGTGTGTGTGTGTGTGTGTGTGTGTGTGTGTGTGTGTGTGTGTGTGTGTGTGTGTGTGTGTGTGTGTGTGTACAGTAAATCCTGTAACTACAGACCACCGTGACTAGCGACCAGCCTGGTACTACAGACCACCGTGACTAGCGACCAGCCTGGTACTACAGACCACTTCGCCAGGCATGGACGGTCTCACATTCATATATGGTCGTGCGGTGCAAACCTCTAACTAAGGACCACCTGCCTCTAAAGATCGCTTTCTCTGGCCCCAAGGGGTGGTCGTTAGTCACAGGCTCTACTGTATGTGTATCTGAGCTGACTGTGGTATGCACCTAACAGTTACTTTGTTGTCGTTGCTATTGTTCAGGTTGGTATAGACATGGAGAAACTGGAGGGCATGAAGGATGATCATGACTTCACAAGACAACTAATGGCCGAAGAGTCCGTGTTCCTCTTACCAGCTAGTGTGAGTTATATCCTCAACGGTGTCCCTCCTATTCGTGATGACTCTCTATCACCGACGCCTCACACAGATTGGTCACTTTGGTGCTCAGGGGCGTGCATGAAGAAGTAGGATGCCCATTCTATATGTGAATGAGTGGTGTTGATGGTGATGTGCTCGTGGAATTGATCGCATTGAGGAGTAGCTTATTTCCCCGATTACAAGTCACACTCGGTTGTAGATCGCACCCCCTTCTTTGCCTTTGAAGTTTAGTGTAGAAAGGTACGACTTACGTTCGGGGAATATTGTAGCGGTTTGACTGATACTCGATGCGCCGTGAAAGAAAAATATATTCTTGCCAGTGTGTCACATGACAAGTAGGCCACCCGCGTGTAGTCGTATGTACCCCACCGCCAACCCGGTCCTCTGCTTGCCGGGCCTGTAACTTGGATTTGTGTGTGGAACGGCAAAGTTCACATTGTTGCATGTACAGGTAGACTCCCTCTAATTCGAATACGGTTTAATTCGAACATTCCGTGTAATTCGAAATTTTTCGTCGTACCGATCTTCTGCAAGTCACTTCAAGTCAAAATCGAATGAATAATTCGAAGTACGAAAAGTGCGCCGGTTGGATAATTCGAACCCAGTCTTCGTACAGAAGCGCTGTTTACAGTACATTGGCTATGTCCTTTGAACGCTTATTTCGAAGGGAGATTGAGTTGCTATCCTTGTAATTCGAAGTTCATTCTTTTCTCCTTCTCTAGCCAAGAGTAGCTCAAAAATTGATTGATGGTCCGCTGCAGGATCGACTATAGCGTTCAAGAAACCCACCTTCTCTCGAAATTTGATTCAAGCCCGTGCTAGGCAAATTGCAAAGGTTTGATTGAAGACGACTTCTTCCAGGTGGCTGACTCTCTTCGCGGATCTCGATGGCCTTTCTTGCCGCGCCAGCTCGTGCGCGGGGATGTTGGCGAACAACAACACTATTGTCGTAAATATTGTCGATGCCTATGCTCAACTTCGGTTCTTCAGAACGACGTGCTGCTGTTCGACGGCCTTTCATGACGCGGATTAGGCAGCGCAGTTCTTTTCCGTTGAAATTGTTTCAGGAAAGCTGCAGTGATTGACAACTTCTTCACTAGAAGATGAAGATAATGTCAAAATGATTTTGTGTCGATCCAGTGTTTTGATGATCCGTTGTACATGACCGGTACGACCACCTATGTTTCGTTGATGCAAATAAAAATGTGCAAAACATATTCAGCATGCGATTTCAAGCATTTTGACATACATATCAGTGCATGGGGCTGCATTTGGATAATTAGAAGTTCTGGATAATTCGAAGTTAGGGCCTGGCTATTTGAGGTTCGAATTAAAGGGAGTCTACCTGTATTAGTGTGTTGCATAGTGCGTTTCGAAAGTCCAGACCTCTGGTTTCAAAAACCCGTTAGGCCAGCATCTATACTACATAAAATCTGTGACCACTTTGTGCATAACATTTCCGAAATTGGGCGTTTGTTATCCAATCGCTTAGAAATTTATACGAGAAAAATTGTGGGAGATTCCTGAGCAATAATCCGAAGAAATCTCTCAAAAAGCTCAAAACAATTTGAATTATTCTAAAAAGTCTAGAGGTCTACGCACTATTGGGCAATCCCCACAGACTCTCTAAACCTTTTACAGGGTGCTCTAGGTAAGTGCAGGAAAAGAAGTTGAATGAAGAAAACGGAAGCTGCACACAATGTCATTGTGTTTTGCAAAAGAGGCTGTGGAGAAGGCTGTTAGATATGGCGAAAGAGGCTGCCTGGCGGCACTCGCACATCTGTTGAACGGTAACCATGCTTGCCAATTACTCTAATTTCAGAAATTTTTGGTGCTCACAATTTTCGGTATGAGGGCTAAAAAGCAGGTTAGGTGAACAGAAATTTCAGGTACAGAGAAGCAGTTCCCTATTGGATTATGTGTGTTAGTGTTTGTTCGGTGTATTGGAATTTTAGGTACGAAGCAGATGCTCCGAAAGTGCTGAAAATAAAAGTACACGGAAAATTTGTGGAAATTATTAACAGTACATGTACATGCCTCCGACCGTGACCCAAGCTGGTTTTGTAGCTGGCTTTGTTGCCGTCCTGTGTCTTATTGCTGCTTGTTCGCTTTTATACAGGTTTTCCTATATCCAAACTTCTTCCGCGTCGTACTTCTTGCCCCGGTTGAGCTGATGGTTGAGGCTACCGAGCGTATCAGCGTCTTCTGTCAGAGGCACATGCGCAAGGAGTCGAGTTAATCATTGTACTCGTCTACGATGACATCGCGGCGGCATTGTTGTCTTCCTATGATGACGTCATCGTGCTCGTCGATGATGGTGGCATCGCGGTGTCACCGATTGGTGTGATGCTCTTCTTCCTATCACGATGACATCATGGCATGGTATTCTTGCTATGATGACGTCGATGACGTCATCATGTTCTTGTTATGATGACATGATTGTATTCTATTGTGCGGATGTCTAGGTTAGGTTTTTTTCTCAAGGTGTGCTAGATTGTAGATACGTGGTGTTTTCTGTTATGCTGTGCTAGGACCTAGTCGCTGTACTGAGTGAGTACTTAGAATGATGAAGTAATAGTTACGCTGTGCTGCAAAGCTCGTCTCCGCACAGGTGCGACGACGCGGTGTTGGGTGGTGTGTTGATGTACTTCGGCACATTTTTCCACTCGCACCGTACCCCTAGGTTTTCTGTTTAATCGGCTAGGTTTTGGTACAATGGCAGTGGGCGTGCGTGCCTTTATTATCTAAACCCCCTCAGTTCCGAAATATTTCACTTTTCTAACTGTCTGACCTGGCTGTTCAATGTATTTGATTTCAGAGTTTTATGTCAGATTCCATTCAAGAATTATTATCCTGATACATTCATTTCCCAGTGGCTGTAAGCCAAAGTTCAATAATTTTTGGCACAATTTTGTAGACTACAATAATACTTTGGTGCAATTTGACAAGTGAAATGGGGGAGGGGGCAACAAAATGCTGCAAACCGGTTGCAGTGCCGAGGTGCAAAGTGGTGGAATATGAAGTATTATGAAAAAGGTGGGACGTAACCGACGATGACAATTTTTAACACTAAAAAATGTCTTTAGCAACCGTTCCTGCTAAGAGGATTGGGGAGGGGGTAGGGGGATGTCGTCCAGCTTCACATTGATAAATGGGGGTGGTTGTCTTGGCAGCGGGGAGGGGTGAAAGGGCCCTGGGCCGGTAACAATAAGAATGAAAAAAGAATAAATTACAAACAAATACAACAGGGACATGCCGACAGGATGACTCCACAGGGGGCGACCCGCATGATTAACTAGTACAATGCGTACAAAGAGCAACAATGCTAACTTCTCCTACATTCTACGTCATAGTGAACCAATGAGACGATAATAATTCATTATAGAAATAATTATAGAATTGAGCTTTTACTAACAAAAATTGAACAAGCAAGAATCATCATCGCTTAGTGAAGTACATCTACTTGTACTTCGAGGTAAAAATATAGGGTATCCAGAAGAGGTGGTGTGGCTGTCGGAGCGTAAATACCACCACTCAAATGCAGTACCACGCCAGGTGCCTTGGCCTACTCCTCTCTCTTGGTCTTCATGCGTCGCTGGCAGAATGCCGCTATGCGATCCATGGCCTCGGAGATGAGATGTTCTGGTGCCAGCAAGACAAT